CGATCTGCTGCTGCTGCTGCTGCTGCTGCTGCTGCTGCAGATGGTGTATTGGTATAAAGTATGTATAAACATGAATAATATAAAAAATATTCTTTTTATTAATTACTTTTATTTATAATAATAATAATATTTATTATTATTTGTGGATTAGTTGCAGAAGTTGCTGCTGCATTTTGCATGCAGCAGCGGAGCAGCAAGGAGCAGCAGCAGCAGCAGCAGCAGCAGCAAAGCCTACACGACACTACTAGGGGAGGCATCACCATCATCAGCAGCAGCAGCGTGGGGGTTTGCTGCAGCAGGAGCAGCAGCAAGGCTTGTTGTGTGGCTGTTTCTTTGTATTATTTCTTTATTAATAATTTATTAATTAAGAAAGAGTTTTGTTCCCTTTTTTTGCTGCTATTTTTGTATAATTTGCTGCTTTTGCTGCAGCTGCTGCTGCTGGGAGAGCGGTTTGCTTAGGCGGCTGCTGCTGCTTGCTGCTGCTGCTGCTGGCGGTGCTCTGCGCCTGTTTGTTTGCCTCCCTTCCTTTCTTTCTTTTTGCCTTTTTCTTTTTTCTTCAATATTGATTTGTTGTTTTTATTCCTTTTTATCTATTTTGCTGCTCTTTTGCTGCTGTTAGGGTGTATATACCCCCCCTCTCCTCCTCTCTTTTCTTGCTGATCTTGTTCCCTGTTGCTGCTCCTGCTGCTACTGTTGTGCTCCTGCTGCTCCTTGCTTGCTGCTCATCTTGCTGCTCTTGCTGCTCCTGCCCGCATCCTTAATTATTATTCATTATATACTACTAAGAATGCCGCATCCTTGCAGGCAGCTGCATTTGCTGCTGCTGTTCCTCCTCCCTCTTATCCTTGCTGCATGCAGCAGCAGCAATGGCCCAATCTCCTCTGCAGCAGCAGCAGCAGCAAGGGAAGATGAACAGATTGACATAATGGAGGTAATGGACGGTGAAGGTCCTTATCCTGTAGCAGCAGCAACAGCAGCAGCAGCAGCAGCAGCAGCAGATCCTCAGCTTCTTACTCCTGGTGCAGCATCAGTTCAAGACATAGTACTAGAAGATGATGCAGCAGCAGCAGGAGCAGCAGCAGCAGCAGCAGCAGGAGATGATGATGAGGAAGAAGAAGAGGAAGAAGAAGAGGAAGAAGAAGAAGAAGGAATAAATAACGAGGAAGAAGTACAGCGCAAGGAAGAAGATAGACCAAGAACTACTAAGCGTCTATACACCACAAAAAAGAGCATGCGTGCTGCAGCAGCAGCAAATAGCCAAGCAGCAGCAGCAAGAAAGAAATTTATTACTGTTGTGTCTTTGCTGCTGCTGCTCAGTGCCTTCCTTAGTATGCGCAGCAAACTTGTACAGCCTGATGACGAGGAGGAGGAGGAGGAGGCACTAGAGGAGGACCCAAGCAGCAGCAGCAGCAACAACAGCAGCAACAAGAACCAGGAGGAGCAGCAGCAGCAAGGAGAGGAGGACGAAGCAACAACAGATGAAGGAACAGATGCTTCCCTCTCTTAATTACATCAATAATAATTACTCCTTATCTATATACTACTACAGCTGCTGCTGCTGTTGCTGCTGCTGCTGCTGCAGCAGCAGCAACAGCAGCAACAGCTGCAGCAATAGCTGTACTGCAGGTGCAGTAGTTGCTGCTGCAGCAGTTGCTGCTGCAGCAACAACTGCTGCTTATGCTTGTCGCGCCCCCGTCTACTGCAGCAGCAAGGCAGTGCGCACCGACTAACGGTAGCAGCAGCAGTAGCAGCAGCAGCAGCAGCAGCAATAGTGTGTGCGTACTAGTGGTAGCAGTAGCTGCTGATGTAGAAACTGCTGTTGCAGCAACTGAAGCAAACAGGAACAGCAGCAGCAGCAGCAGCAGCAGCAGCAGCAGCTGACTGTCTTTCGTTTTCGTGCCTACTAAGGCGCCTCTTATATTCACAGGACTCAGGGAAGGCACCAGGCAACAGGTGCAACAACAACTGCTGCTGCAGCAGCAGCAGCAGCAGCAGCAGCAGGAACAGCAGCAGCAACAGCAGCAGCAGCAGGGAGAAACAGACGAAGAAGAAGTAGATGGGGACCAAGCTGGGCGCAATGAAGCAATAAAATGCATGCATGCATCTTTATGCATGCATGCATCTCTGTGTATGCATGCGCGCATGCATATATGCATGCATGCATGCATCTCTATGCATGCATGCATGCATTTACGGCGTCTGCGTTTTGCCCACAGGAGGTTATCTTTGTCTGTGTTGAGAGGTGCTGCTGCTGCAGCAGCTGCAGCAGCAGCAGCAGCAGGTGCGCTGGCTGGTTGTTGGTGGTGTGTGTTGCTGCTGCTGCGGTAGTAGTGGCAGCAGCAGCAGCAGCAGCAGCTACTGCTGCTGCTGCAGCCGTGGGAGATGTAGGCAGCAGCTGTGTAGCTGTTGCAGGTGTTGTAGCTGTTGCAGCAAGAGCTGCAGCAGGGGAGTTGCAGCAGCAGCAGCAGCAGCAGGAGCTGCAGCAGCTGCAGCAAGGTCGTCCGGGTGTCGTTGTTAGGTTTGCATGCGCATGCGCTGCTTGTGGGGTTTCTTGCATGCGCTTGCATGCGCTTTTGGGGCTGCATGCGAAAGTGCATGCGGCTGTAAACGCTGCATGCAGGGGAGTAGGCAGGGGCGCAGATAAGTGTCTGATTGTAGCAGCAGCAGCAGCAGCAGCAACTATAGCTGCTGCTTCTGCTGCTGCCGCCGCTGCTGCTGCTGCTGCTGCAGGTCCAGTAGTTTCGTATGCATAGCAGAAGCAACAGCAACAGCAGAAGCACATGCGGTGGTGGGTAGGGAAGAGCAGCAGCAGCAGCAGCAGCAGCAACAGCAGCAGAGCAGCAGCAAGGGCAGCAGCAGACATAGTAAATGCAGCAGGGTGGGTATATAACTGTACCTACTGTTACTGCGACAGCTGTTGCTGCAGCAGCAGCAGCAGCAGCAGATGTTGTTGTTGCTGCTGCTACTGCAGTACTACTACTACTGCTGCTACTGCTGCTGCTGCTGCTGCTGCTGCTGCTGCTGCTGCTGCTGCTGCAGTGTAGTAGCTCTTAATTGAACAGGCATCCGCGTAATTTCAAACTCGGCGATTATTTCTGGACTTGTCTTCTCTTTCTTATTAACCCTTATAAACCCTAAACCCTAAACCCTAAACCCTAATTCCTTATAAACCCTAAACCCTAAACCCTAATTCACCATTATTGTAAACCCTAAATACTAATGTACCTTATTACGTAAACCCTAATTATATATATATATATATATA